ATGAGGATCATTGCCGACATGTGATCAACGCGAGTGCTGGGTGACAGAGTGAGACTCTGTCTTCAAAAAAAAAAAAAAAAAAAAAATTAGCCAGGCGATGGCAGGCACCTATATCCCAGCTACTTGGGAGACTGAGGCAAGACCAGTCTCAAACACAAACAGTGCAAGAAAAATTGGTAGCTGAGAGATTCCAGTGTAAATCCTTTGTTATTTATATTGTAACAATGAAGTAACAACAAGAACCTTTAGTATCTTTGACCAATGAGCTTATATTGACATACTCCTATATTTCACTGCACCAAACATCTGCTCTGATTCCTCAATGATTTAGATAAACTGTATTTAATCACTTAAAATGAACCTTCTAATTTTAAAAAGGTCAAGCTAAATTTTAGTTTCTCCTTCTGAGTTCAAAAGTTTGACTGCAGAGTTTTCTTGTGCTTGTATTCTTTTAAACGGCTAGGCCAGGCGATGGTGGTTCATACCTGTAATCCTAACACTCTGGGAGGTCAAGGTGGTTGACCTGCTGGAGCCCAGGAGTTATTAGAGCCAGCCTGAGCAATACGGAGGAAACTCCATCTTTATAAAAATATAAGTTAGCCAGGCATGGTGGCAAGCGCATGCAGTCCCAGCTATAGTCCCGAGCTACTCAGGAGGTTGAAGCAGGAAGACAGCTTGAGCCCAGGAAGGCAAGGCTGTGGCAAGCCAAGATCCCTGCCACTGCACTCCAGCACTGTGTGACAGAGCAAGACTCTGTCTCAAAAAAATAAAAAATAAAATAACCAGTCTACAATGGAACAACCGACTAAACAGCTAAAAGATTTTGGGATATAATATTATATACGTTACTGTTTTAAGTCTAACATACTTATGTCATTCATATTTGCGGTCTAACTTTGAGTTATGTACACATTGGCTGTGTTCCACTGAAAAAGATATACATCTAACTTCACCTACCTAAAGCAGTACTTTTTAGATGTTATAATTCAAAATTGGTTCAGAAAGAATCGTGGTATTCTCTGTTGCTGCTCGGACGGCCAGGAAGCGCGTTGGCTTCACAGGTGGATCACACTGTCTCAGCTCACTGCAACGTCCGCTGCCCAGATTCAAGCAATTCTCCTGCCTCAGCCTCTCAAGTAGCTGGGACTACAGGCCCCCGCCACTACGCCTGGCTAATTTTTGTAGTTTTAGTAGAGATGGGGTTTTACCATCTTGCTCAGGCTGAGCTTGAACTCCTCACCTCGTTTTTCCACTCGCCTCGACCTCCCAAAGTGCTGGAATTACAGGCGTGAGCCACTGCGCCTGGCCTAATTTTTGTATTTTTAGTAGAGATGGGGTTTCACCATGTTGGCCAGGCTGGTCTCGAACTCCTGACCTCAAGTGATCCGCCCACCTCTGCCTCCCGCAGTGCTGTGATTACAGGTGTGGGCCACCGTGCCTAGCTGTTGCTTTATTTATAATAATTATCTTCTGTATATCTTCCTGGAATTTAATAAATACATTTATTTATTTATTTATTTATTTATTTATTTATTTATTTAGAGACAGAATCTTGCTCTGTTGCCCAGGCCGGAGTGCAGTGGCACAATCTCGGCTCACTGAAACCCCCGCCTTCTGGGTTCCAGTGATTCTCCTGCCTCAGCTTCCCGAGTAGCTGGGATTACAAGCTTGCGCCACCACATCCAGCTAATTTTTGTCTTTTTAGTAGAAACAGGGTTTTGCCATGTTGCCCAGGCTGGTCTTGAACTCCTGACCTCAGGTGATCCACCCGCCTCGGCCTCCCAAAGTGCTGGGATTATAGGCGTGAGCCACCGCACCCAGCCAAGAAAATTATTAAAAGTAACATGTTTAATAAATTTTCAGGTTTCTTATTAGGTTCTTTTAGCCTAGTTATTTTTTACAAATGTGATTTAAAATATATTTTATCAAGATATGTTGAAATAAAATTCCAAAATTGCATGTTAATATTTATCAAGTTGTAAGAAAATTATTAAAAGTAACATGTTTAATAAATTTTCAGGATTTTTATTAGGTTCTTTTAGCCTAGTCATTTTTTACAAATGTGATTTAAAATATATTTTATCAAGATATGTTGGAATAAAATTCAGACATTATGTGTTAGTATTTATTAAGTTGTGTATCATTATTATTCATTTCATATCTCATTTAAAATTTTGGCTTTAGACTGAAAATATTCCTGTGGTTAGAAGACCTGATCGAAAAGATCTACTTGGATATCTCAATGGTGAAGCGTGTGAGTACTTTTTAAATTGTTCCCACCCTTAAACAGACATTATTTCTTTTTTCTCCTACGAAATAATGATTAGTGGGAAACGAATTTGTATTTCCACTAAAAAATTAACCTACCTTCATTTTTGTCCATGTGCTCTTCTCTTTTTTATACAGTGAATGCACTGTCTTTGCTCTTAAGGCCAGTCACCCCTTCCTTGTGTGTGGATTCCATCTCCTTTCACAGTCTCAAAGACTTTGTCTTCGTAAGTTGTTTCTCTCTTACATCATCAGTTTTCTACTTTCTTCTGGATCATTCCCTTTTAGAATACCTACAGTAAGATTTCATGTTTAAAAATGTTTTTGATCCCACATTCCTACTGTTTACTGCTTCGTTTATCTTCTCCCTGATACGGTAAAATTCTTTGCAAGGGGTTGTGTGGTATCACTGCTTCTTCTTAACCTTTGTTTCTTTCTTGAAGCCACTCTAGTCTGGCCTTCATCCTTACCATCCCACTAAAATCACTCCTTGTAAGGTCAACACTGATTTAACGATTGCTACATCCTTTGGTCTCTCGTACCATACTTGACCTCTCAACAGCATTTGATACTGTTGACCACTCATTTTTGAAAGCCTTTCTTCATTTGGCATTTGGAACGCCAGACTCTTGGTTCTCTTTCTAGTCATTGTTCCCCTCTCAGTTTATTTTGGTTACTTCTGTACCTGACCTCTAATTCTTGAAGTTTCCAAGACTTGATCTTTTTTTTCTCTTTTCTTTTACCCTTATTCTCTAGGTGATCTCTTTCTGTTTTATGCCTTAGATATCATATATAAGCTGATAAAATTCCAAGTTTTTTTCAGCATTGACTTCTTCCAGGGCACCAGATTTATAAATTTACTGTGAACATGTTTCCTTGGTTGTTGAATAGGCATCTGCAATTTAACATATTGAAACTGGAATGCCTGATTCCCTCTTTCCCTTCTGCCCTCACACAGAACAAAAACAAGTCTGCTCTTTCCTCAGTGTTCCCACTTTAGTAAGGGGTAGTGGTACCCTATTCCTGCAGTTGCTTAGGCCAGAACTCTGGTGAAATCTTTGTCACATCTCACTTCCATTCTATCAGCAAGTTGTTTTTTTCTCTCTTTAAAAGTATGACAGTTTCTTACCATTCTACCGACCCTATTTCATCCTTCCTTTTTAGATTATTGTATAGCTTCCTCACAGGTCCCCACTCTTTTTTTCCTATAGTGTAGTCTTAGCAGTAAAGAGTGTCCTGCTTTTGAAAAAGTACATAAACTTGATTGTGTCACTCACCTGTGGCTTCCCATCACTCTTAGAATAAAACTCATACTTGTTACCTTGGCAGTGATCTTGCCTCTGCCTAAATCTCTGTGACTTCATCTTCTACCAGTCTTCCTTTGCGCATAACAGTCAGTCTTTTTTATCTTTTAGCTATGCCAATCTTAGCGCCTTTGCACTTTCTCTTCTATCTTGAGGTCTCGTTCACTGCATTATCCCATGGTTCACTTCCTTACTATTTCTTTTAGATCTGTGCTCAAGTGTTTTTCCAAATGTTGTTCCATCAGAGAAGACTTCTCTGACTACTCTAAAATATAGTATCTCTTTCCCCCTTCTGTGGTTGTTATGTGGTGCCATCCTGATTTATTTTTCATCAAATCTGGTACCTGGACCTGAAATTATATGTGTGTTTATGTACATAGTGTCTGTCTTTCCCATTAGAAGGTAAATTCTAAGGGGACAGACAGTCATTTGTCTTATTAAATACCCAGCATTTAGAATAGTGGTGCATGGTAGGTTCTTAGTAAATGAATAATTATTAATTTACTCTCTTACAGAGTACAAGTACGTTGGTATAATAGAACTATTGGATCTTACTTTGCCGAGTGTGGAGTGTAGTACCTTTAAGTCATTAATACCTGTCTTGTCGTGCATGGCTTTAAGCAGTAAGATTGATTTCCACAGAGAATCTTGTGTATAATGGAAAGATCATCATTAGGAATGCTTTCTTCCTATGCTATCCTCATTCAATAAGGACTTATTACATGCTTATTCTTAAAGGCATTATGCATTGTGCAAAATGCCAAATCCCTGTCTTAAACATGTAAACATGCTTACTGTCATGCAAGGGAGACAAACACAAAAGTTTAGAACCCAGCAGTATTGAAGAGGGAGTCTCAATTCTGTGAAGAGGATAGAGTTGGGAAGGATAGAAGAAACTTTTTTATTTTTATTTTTCTTTCAGAGATGGAGTCTCACTACATCGTTCAGGCTGGTCTTGAACTCTTGGACTCAAGCAGTCCTCCTTCCTTGGCCTCCCAAAGTGTTGGGATTGCAGGCATGAGCCACTGCGCCCAGCCATTTTTTCTGTGATCGCCAATCAAAGCAAATTTGATTCTTTGGAGCAGTGTTTCTGTAACTTTTTAAATGATGGTTCATATGGTTTGAAAATAGTGTGTGTGTGTGTGTTTGTTTGTTTATTTTTGGCCTCAGAAGATGTGGTATAAAGTCTAAGATTCTCTATTCTTAAACGTCACAGGCGAGCCTGATAAATAGGCTAGTTTTGGGGAAGCGCTTCAGAGCAAATGGTTTTTCTTTTTAGAATCAAAAGTAGAGTTGCCCTGTATCCATGTATGTCATTTCCTGTAGTTTCTATAGGACAAATTTAGTCACTAAGCATATTGCTTTGCTACTTTTTAACGACTGTTAATTTAAGAGTTTAATGAAAAGGTTGAGCAAATATTAAGACTGTATTCTTAGGAAGACTAACAGGTAAAGACGTTAGTTCTTAATTTATACATTTAACATAGTCTCAGTAAGAATCTCTGGTTTTTCTTGAGATAGGAGTAGAACTAGACAAGGTAATTCTAAAGTTCATTGGCAAAAGTAAGCATCTTAAAAATTTGTAGAAGAGCATTGAGAAAAGGCTAGTCATTCTAGAGAACTTAAAACCCTGATAATTAAAAAAAAACTAAATGAATAGATACACTAATAAAACAACTTTATCTGTTAGATGAGAAATCTATATGTGAATTTAACATGTTAGTAAAGAGACATGTCAGGTCAATGGGAGAAAGGTGGGATTATTCAGTTACAAGCTGATAAAAGTAGTAAAGTTCTGTACTATAAAAAACAAAAGACATGGCACACTGGGAAAATATATTAATATTTCAACTCATCGCAGATAAAGGGCTAATCTCACTAATATATGAAAGGTCTTAGAACTTTATGCATAAAAGACCACTCTGGACTATGTCATAAATTCACAGAAGGTGATAAAATCATGAAAAATGCTTAATTTCATTTATAGTAAGAGAATTGCAAATTTAAACTATACAGAGATAGGATTTTTTTTTTTTAACTGATAGACAAAAATCTATAAATTTGATAATGTGGTCTGGTGGAGCAGTGAGAAAACAGATATTCTACTATATTGTTGGTTATAATGTTAGTCAGTACACCACTACACTCCCACTGAAGAATTGGCAGCAGTCTAACATTACAAATTTAACATAGAAATAAATCCTGTGTCTAGAACTTTATCCTAGAGGTGTATTTTGTTTAGCTTTTGTTTACCAGTTGTGAATAACTAAAAATTACACATGTAGGGCGAATGCTAACTTTATTTTATTTTATTTATTTTTATTTTTTATTTTTTTTGGGACGGAGTCTCGCTCTGTTGCCCAGGCTGGAGTGCAGTGGCGCAATCTCAGCTCACTGCAAGCTCTGCCTCCCGGGTTCATGCCATTCTCCTGCCTCAGCCTCCCAAGTAGCTGGGACTACAGGCACCCACTGCCACACCCGGCTAATGTTTTGTATTTTTTTAGCAGAGACAGGGTTTTACGGTGTTAGCCAGGATGGTCTCGATCTCCTGACCTCGTGATCCACCTGCCTCAGCCTCCCAAAGTGCTGAGATTACAGGCGTGAGCCACCACGCCCTGCTGGTGAATGCTAACTTTAAAAAATTCTTGCCATTATATATATATGTGTGTGTGTATATATATGTGTATATATGTACATTTATATATTTATGAAAATATATGACATGACTTTGTATTAATATATTATTGTGCCATTGTTTGTAATGACAGAAGACTAAAATTGAACAGCTCGTCAACAGGGACCTAGTGAAATAAATTGTAGTTAGGCCATACAGTAGAGTACTCAGTAACTATAAAAAAAAGAGTTAAGGAGGGCCTGACGCGGTGGCTCACGCCTGTAATCCCAGCACTTGGGGAGGCCAAGGTGGGTCGATCACAGGGTCAGGAGATGGAGACCATTCTGGCTAACACGGTGAAACCCCGTCTCTTCTAAAAATACAAAAAAATTAGCCAGGCGTGGTGGCATGTGCCTGTAGTCCCAGCTACTCTGGAGGCTGAGGCAGGAGAATGGCGTGAACCTGGGAGGCGGAGCTTGCAGTGAGCCGAGATCGCCACTGCACTCCAGCCTGGGTGTCAGAGCGAGACTCCATCGCAAAAAAAAGTTAAGGAAATGCTCTACTTACTGATCTAGAGGGATATGGGAGATAAGTTGTTAGGTAAAAAAGAAAACAGGGTTCAGAACAGTATGTTTAGTGTGTCACCTTTTGTATTAAAAAGGGTAAAAATAATTTCGTATTTCTTCTATCTACAGAAAGAAATTCTAGAAGGATATGTAGGAGACTAGTTGGCTGCATAGGGTGGTGGGAACTAGGTGAATAGGGACAGGTATACCCCTTTTTGTTGAGCCATTCAAAAATTAATTTAATTTTAAAAGTAATTTAGTTTTTACCAGTTGTGAATAAATGAAAATTGCATGTTTAGGGTGAATGCTAACTTTAAGAAAATCTTGCCCATATATGTGTTTGTGTATATATGTTTATGTATTTACTTATTTATGTTTAGAGATACCTTTTTAGGTATCGATGTTATGATGTTGGAGCATATACTTTGAAGCAACTAATTTCAGTCAGATCATCTCAGTAATTTGTAAGCTGAATTGGTAAAAATAGTTTGTCCTCTTAGAGACTTTGTAGTATAGTCTTTTAATAAAATGTTTTTGCAGAGCTGTTTTAAAACTGAACTTTTTACCGAGAGAAAATCACCATATAGAAGTATATAAAAAACTTAAAGCATTTCACTTGTAATAATACCCAATATATATGTTGAAATAGTAATCCTTACATGAATCTTTTTATATCTTCAGCAACATCGGCAAGTATAGACAGAAGCGCTCCCTTAGAAATAGGTCTTCAGCGATCTACTCAAGGTATGTCTTGTTGCATGTTTATATTGAACTTTCGGAAACCCATTCCAAACTACACCTTTATTTATTATAAATAATAAATAAGTTCTCTTTCTTTTATAGTCAAACGAGCTGCAGATGAAGTTTTAGCAGAAGCAAAGAAACCACGAATTGAGGTAAAGAAACTTGATTTTAAACAATTTTATTTATATTCTTATTGAAATTGGGATTCTGTAGTAACAAAGATTCTTTGATTGCAGTAACTTGAGAAGCTGTTTTTCTGGGAAAAATTTTTGTGGTAGAAAGAACAATTGATTAATAAGTAACTCAAGCTATAGTTTTAAGCTCTCACACATGCAAGCTATGTGATGGACAAATCATTTTATTTTCTTTGCTTTTATATTCTTATTGAAGAACATTGGCTCAAGGGTCAGAATTCTTTTTCCTTTCTTTTCTTTCTTTCTTTTTTTTTTTTTAAAGGCAAAATCTTTCTCTGTCACTCGGGCTGGAGTCCAGTGGTGTCATCATAGCTTACTGTAGCCTCGACCTCCGGGGCTCAAGTGATCCCCCCACCTCAGCCTCCGAGTAGTTGGGACTGCAGGTGCCTGCCACCATGCCTGGCTAATTTTTTTTTTTTTTCAAATAGAGACAGGGTTTTTAAAATAGAGACTTTCTTTATGAAAGGCCAGATAGTAAATATTTTAAGCTTTATGGGCCATATAGTTTATGTTGCAACTATTTAATATTGTAGTGTGAAAGCACTCATAGACAATACATAAATGAACAGATGTGGCTATGTTTCTATAAAAAACTTCAGAAAACAGATGGTGGGCAAGAATTGGTCTTTGGGATGTAGTTTGCCTACCTTTGAAACAATGTGTTATGGGTGCTTGCTTTACTGCTCAGAGCTGCGAACACGAAGTACCTACTACTTTAATGTAATTTTAATTAAGGATATTCTGAGACATGGATCTGATATTTTTTAAGAGAATGATAATTGATTCATTGTTACTGCTCTATGCTATGTGTTATTCTAAGTACTTTATATGTATTAACTCATGTAATCTGATTTACTCATAGATGATATGCATAGTACTCCCAGAACTCATTAAGTTGGTAGAACCATGCATGTCTTCCATGAGCGAATAGGCTCAGACAGAGTAAGTGAATTGCTGAGGTTTGAAGAACCAGTTGGAACCTTGGCAGTCTGGTTTCTAGCCATTCCACTAGGTATAAATTTTGTGGTAGTAAAACTGAATATTTCCCCTTATATGAAAGGAGATTGTGACCTGTGGTTAAACAGTGTGTATGAATTTAGGGATACCATTTATTTGATCTCAAATTCCTGGCCTCAAGCAATCTGCCCACCTCGGCCTCCCAAAGTGCTGGGATTACTGCCATGAGCCACTGCACCCAGCTCAAGGGATGCCATTTATTTGAAACAATCTGAACACCACAGTCTGTTTGAAAAAATTCAGCGTGGCAGAAGTCCTAGTTTCCTGGGATTCCAGTAACTTGAAAAATCAGCAGGAAATGGCATAATACATTTTTTTTTCAAATCATTTGTAGGGTTGAAATGTGTTACATAAACAGCTACGGTTTTCAGCATTTGTTTTCAGTTCAGTGTATGTCTTTTGAGGACCTGTAAGGAACTGTACTAGGAGAGAGAAACTGAGGGTAGAGTTTCTGATTTGATAAAAATCTAGGCCGCAGTTGTCTTTAAAATTGGTAGTTTCGTGAGGAATTTGAGTAATCTGGGCTATATCTTTATTGCATGTGGAAAAAGTTGGATGCATTTGCCAAAATATTTTTGCATTTATTTCAGCCGATGTATTCATTTTAAGATTTTTACATGGTAGATTCATAATAGGACATGAATTGGAGCCCAACACCTTTTTGGATCTCTGGAGTATGCTGATGCTTTTTATACAGTTTTGTATTCTGTTAGTCATAGTCATTGACTCTGGTCCTCAGTTATGTTATTTGTTGAATGTGAACATTAAACTAGATCAGGGTTACCAGATTTTGTTTTGTTTTTAACCACTTGCTTTTCAGACTAAGTTTTACTTGACATCATAATATGTGAATTAGATAAAAGCTGAGCTACCAGGGTTGAATTTCAGACAAGATCTTGAAGTGGCCCATGAGGCATTTAGTTGGAAGTTTCTAACGTTCTAAGGATCATCCTTTGAAAATCTTTAAGGTTTTCCTTTAAAGCATTTTGATTAGTGCTAATGGATTCAGGACCTGTAGCAACAGAAGGAAAAAAAATGGAGATGCCAAAATGAAATTTTTGACTTCGGTGAAGGCTTGTCATAACATTTGGTTATTAACTTTCTCAAAAAGATGAATTTATTTGTTGTGTCTTTCTGAAGAAAATCAGCTATGATATGGGAAGAACACTTAATCATAAAGAAAAAAGTGGCTAAGCAAGTTTTTCTTAAGCTATTAGATGATTCCAGTCTTAAGATTCAACGTATATTTATTGTTACTATCTTTAGGTAGCTAAAAGTTTTAGTCTTGAAGTTGGCCTAAAGACACTGGTACCTAGAATTGTAGAGGTAGGAAATTTGGTAAGGAAAAGTTATATGTAGTGTTTTTTCTTCTCAAAAGTTAAATAAAAATTTAAAATGCATTAACCAGTGGTTATTTCCAGGATGAAGAGTGTGTACGCCTTGATAAAGAGAGATTGGCTGCCCGTTTGGAGGGTCACAAAGAAGGGATTGTACAGACCGAACAGATTAGGTAAGAATTGTTTTTAAGTAGAAAGTAGGTAGTTTAGATATATGTAAAGGTATAAGGAAAAGGAATATTAAAATGCTCCCCACATTTATGTTTACCTCTTGGATTCATTGTATGCCTCTGTGCTCTTAGTTCATAAGAGTATGTGTGGGGATTGGAAGTTAATGTGTTTATCATGCTTTTTGAAAAGTCTTCTTGATTCTATTACCATGTTGGTCTTTCTTTTTAAAAATTGCTTTATAAGTTGAGAAATTCATTTTATGTTATCTCTTATTGATTATGTACAGCAGAGGTCAGCAAACTTTTTCTGGAAAGTGCCACATATTAAATATTTTTAGCTTTGAAGGTAGTATGGTCTCTTGAAACTACTGAGCTTATGTGGTGTAGGGAAAGCAGCCATAGACAGTACATAAATGGATGGGCATAGTTTCTTCACTTTTTAAAAATGTTTTCATTTTTCTGGATTCCAACTACTCAGACTCTACTTGAAGTTGTTTGACAGCTCACTTATGTTTTTTTCTTTTTTTGGATTCTTTTCTGTCTGTTTATATTCTTTTTTGAATTATCTTTGGATCGTTTCTGTTGTATTGAACTTTAATTTTTTTTTTTTTTGGAGACAGATTTTCGCTCTTTCGCCCAGGCTAGAGTGCAGTGGTGCAATCTTGACTCACTGCAACCTCTGCCTTCTGGTTTCAAGCGATTCTCCTGCCTCAGCCTCCCAAGTAGCTGGGATTACAGGCGCCTGCCACAATGCCCGGCTACTTTTAGTAGAGACGATGTTTTCACCATGTTGGCCAGGCTGGTCTCAAACTCCTGAACTCGTGATCCAGCTGCCTTGGCCTCCCAAAGTGCTGGGATTACAGGCGTGAGCCACCGCGCCTGGCTGAACTTTAATATTTTTTTCTTTGACAGTTCACTTATGTTCTTTTCTTTTTTTGAATTCATTTTCTGTCTGTTATAGTCTTTTTTGAGTTCTTTTTGGATAGTTTCTGTTGTGTTTTCAACTTTACTTAATTTTTTTTTCTGTAATCCCATGCATGTTTAGTCTCCAACGTTGTAGTTTTCATCTCAAGTTTGTTTTGCTCTTTTTTTTTTGAGATGGAGTTTGGCTCTTGTGACCCAGGCTAGAGTGCAATGGCGTGATCTCGGCTCACTGCAACTTCCGCCTCCCGGGTTCAAGCGATTCTCCTGCCTCAGCCTCCCGAGTGGCTGGGATTACAGGCATATGCCACCACACCCGGCTAATTTTTGTATGTTTTGCTGTTTTTTAAAAAACATACCTACTTTATCTTTTTATTTAGCTTGTTGAAATATAGAACATAGTTCTTGTAATTATTTTCATGCCTTGAGATTAATTGATATTTCTCTTAATTCTGCTTTATTACATGTCTGCTTTATTACATTTTCCTGCTTTATTACATGTCATGTGATCTTTGATTGCACACCAAACATTGTGTATACTTTTTACCTTGTCGAGTGCTAGATATTGTTATATTTCCCCACATCGTCTTTAGCTTTTTTTGGGACACAGTTAAATCTCTTGGAAACAGTTTTGATCTTGATTGTAACTTATCTGAACATTGGTCTGCTAGGGTAATTATTCCCCACCCACTGAGGCAAGACCATTCTGAGTACGTAATACCTCGTGAACATGAGGTTTCATTCTGGCTAGTGGAACAGGCACTATTCTTCACCTTGTGTGACCACTAGGCATTATTCTGTCTAATCCACTTGGGTGGTTCTTTATTCAGCCTTAGTTTCTTCATATTTGTGTTAGTCAGAATTCTGCTGGGGTATGTCAGGGGGACCTTCTATACACTTCTCAGGTGTTCTGACCTATGAATTCTAACTATCTTGGTCTTGCTGTAATCCCAGCTCCATTTCTTCTTATCCGAGAATCCGCTCAGTTCTATATGGGTTCTCCTGCCAAGGCCATGTCTTGGAAACTTACAAGGCAATAAGCTGAGGCAGTCATAGGGCTTACCTTGTTTGTTTCTCATTTGTTAGGGAATTACTGTCCTTCATTGCTTGATATCTAGCATCTAGTAAACCATTGTTTTATGTATTTTGACTGGTTATTTAAAGGCTGGAGGGTTAGTCTAGTCTCTGGTACTTCATCTTGGCTGTAAGTAGAAGTTCTATGTTTCAAAGTCCATTGGAGGCTTGATTATAGTTTGGAGAAGTACAGTAGTCACCCAGCCGCCTTCCGGGGATATGTTCCAAGACCTCCAGTGGGTGCCTGAAACCTCGGATAGTCCTGAACTCCAGCCAAGGAATCCCAAGGTCACCTTGTCATTTAAGGGAAGCACTTTGGGAGTGGCATATGCGAATTGCTAGCGTCACTACTCTTGTGTTTTGGGGCTATTATTAGGTAAAATAAGGGCTACTTGAACGTAAGTACTTTGATGCTGCCATCGTCAATCTGATAACCAAGATGGCTATTAAGCGACTACTGGGCAGGTAGTGTGTACAGTATCGATACATTGGACAAAAGGATCATTCATGTCCGGATATCCCAGGCAAGTGTCCCAGGCAGGACAGTACAAGATTTCAACAGGCTACTGAGCATGGCACATAATTTAAAACTTATGAATTATTTATTTCTGGAATTTTCCATTTAATATTTTGGACTGTGGTTGATAGTGGGTGACTGAAACTGTGGAAAGCCAAACAGAGGAGTACTGTATTTGAATTTGGCTTAAGGTATGCTGGTGTGCTTTAGATTTTAAGGGAAATCTGCACAGTATTACACAAAAATGCATCAAATGCCAGGTGCATATGAGCACTACTATAAAGTACCTTCATACCTAATCTAAATAAAATTAGAATACTATATAATGCTACTGTATTTAAACCTGTAGGAATTTTCATCCTTTTTCCAGATTTTGTGTAAACATAATTCAAGATCTTCATCTTGTGACTAAAGTAATATTTTTGTCTACTGTTATTAAGGTACCCAAACACTTTTTAATTCTTTTTCTCATTTTACATGATAAAAGATACTTTGCTTAAGATTATCGTTTTATGACATGTATACTTTCAGTGTTAGGTCTTTTTTCATATTTCTGCAAACATAGTCTCTTTTTACTATTTTGCCTATTTGAAAATCAAGGAAAGGGAAGAAAAAGGAAACTATATAAAATATGGTTTTATCTTCCAGAGATTAAAGGAGTATGTTTTTGTGACATAAAAGCCTGTCACTTAATTATGTTCTGCACTATGGCATACAAGTTTGAAACCTTGAAATAAATTTCAAGGAAAACCTAGGCTTTGAACTTTCTGTAGGATGGATTTTTTACCCCCTTCCAAAGTGGCCTCTGTGTGTGTGTGTAATTTCTGTAGACAGAAAAAATACAAAGAAAAGCACCTATATTAATGAGTCCTGCTTTTTTGCGGGGAAGAGATGAGAAACCATCAAGATTTTTGTTGCATTGATACTTCTAAGAAATTACTAATTTGCTCTTAGAGTAGTATCTTGACATAAATTCTTTATAAAAATTTTATGTAATTGCAGAATAGCAAGTCAGTCTTACAGATAAGAAAACCTTAATTATTGCCCTTAAAGTGTTTTTACCAGAAATTTATAAATGTAACGAAATATATTTATGATACGCTCCAGGAATCCTTGCTGTGAAAATTTAAAAAAGAAATTGCTTTTAGGTCTTTATCTGAAGCTATGTCAGTGGAAAAAATTGCTGCAATCAAAGCCAAAATTATGGCTAAGAAAAGATCTACTATCAAGACTGATCTAGATGATGACATAACTGCCCTTAAACAGAGGAGTTTTGTGGATGCTGAGGTAGATGTGACCCGAGATATTGTCAGCAGAGAGAGAGTATGGAGGACACGAACAACCATCTTACAAAGCACAGGAAAGGTAATTTATTTTACTCATTCATTGGAGTGAGAGAGAGAGAGAGAGAGAGTGTGTGTGTGTGTGTTTAATCTGTGGTTATAGAATTGGTTAAAGTTTGCTTTTAGGTGGAAGTTTCAAGTTTTATCTCTTTGAGAGCTCAGTAATAATGTAGATTTCCAGATGGTGATTTTTACCATTCCATTCTTTTTTTTTTTTTTTTTGAGACGGAGTCTCGCTCTGTCGCCCAGGCTGGAGTGCAGTGGCCGGATCTCAGCTCGCTGCAAGCTCCGCCTCCCGGGTTCCCGCCATTCTCCGGCCTCAGCCTCCCGAGTAGCTGGGACTACAGGCGCCCGCCACCTCGCCCGGCTAGTTTTTTGTATTTCTTAATAGAGACGGGGTTTCACCGTGTTAGCCAGGATGGTCTCGATCTCCTGACCTCGTGATCCGCCCGTCTCGGCCTCCCAAAGTGCTGGGATTACAGGCTTGAGCCACCGCGCCTGGCCACCATTCCATTCTTGAATATGGTTGTTATTCATCAGAGATGCTGATGAAAAAGTAGGAATCAGAATACAAGCTCCTTCACACATGATTTGCAAATCAAAGAATGGTCCGGTTTTCCTGTTGAGTCATTTTTGCTTAAACCTAATAAACAAGGAATAATATTGATGACAAGTTCTCTGGTTATTAATGCCATCATTTTTTTCCCACATAGTAGAGAACTTATGGAAATCTGTAGCAAACATTTATTGAGTATATTTTATACACTATATTCTGTTGTGTGGGTATAGCAGTTTTTTCATTTGTTCCCTGTTAGTGGAAATTGTTTTCTTTTGTTTTTGCTCCAAAGATGGTGTGATTTTTCTCCCTTTCTCTGGCCTTCCTTTCTTCTCTCTACCTCCCTCTGCCTTCCTCTCTTTCTCCTCCTGTTTCCCTCTCTTCCTCCTTCCCTCGCTTCCTTTTCACTGTTATGAATAATGCATTAGAAAACGTTGTACATATACCTTTGTGTATTTATGTGTATATAGACAAAGGATTAATTCTTGGAAACAAAGTGCTGGTTAAAGGAGATACGCACTTTATATTTTGAAAGATAAAAATCTGAAATACTTGAATGTCCAGTATTTTCATGGATCTCCAAAAAGAGGATGCATTTACCCTGATTTATGTACTTACTTTCATTTGTCTTTTCCTCTTCGGTGCCTCAATTTTCTCTTAAATGTTTTCTCCACTGATGCACACTCGTTAATAGTGATAATCTAGTAAGAATGTTGAAGTGTGCAAGGTTACTTGTGAAACTGAAATTTAACACTGTTTTAGGCAAATTGGTTTTGGTTGTAGAATTTTGGGATTTTAGCCTTCAATTTACATTGCTATTTTAGTAGAAGTAAAGTTATGAAAAGAGTATATAAAGAAAATAATCATTTCTTTTTCTTTTGTACTTTGACTTGTTTTACAAAGTACCTAAGGTTAAGTTTAAGAATCATTCTCCAGAGCTTAGAATTGTAGAGAAATCTGAGGATGTGAGTGAACTTCCATTTTTGCTCTTTACAATAAAATGATTTGTTGATACTGATTTTCACTGTCTAGTATGGCTAATACTTGAGTAATATTGTGACTTATGTTGATCCACCAGTGTTCATTCAAATCAAAAAATCTCAAACTCATAGTAGAGGAATAAAAACAGGTGATATACCCTACCTAACTTTTAGACCAGACATTACTTTTTCAAGTAATTGAGGTGAACAATTTTCTTTGACCTCTAGGTGGCAGGATTGTACCATCATTTCTAAACTTACTGATTTAATATTGTTGGTACCACTATATCTTTCAAAAAGTAAGTTAATAAAAGAATTGTAGCTAGGCTTGCGTAAATGAGTATTATTAGCATTTAAAAAAATACTTTGATAGTCTGTGTATTGTTTTTATCAGGTACACTCTAAAAATACTCTTAGGCAGGTGAGAATAAAAAAAATACTCTAGATACTTAAAGCCTTGTGGATTTTAGATAGACGTTCATTATTACTAGTTATCAGGGCCTTCATTATTACTAGTTATCAGGGCTTTCTTATTTTTTGAGTTTCAGGAACAAAAGGTTGAAGATTCATGAGAGGCTGGGTGCTGTGGCTCACGCCTGTAATCCCAGCACTTTGGGAAGTCAAGGCAGGTGGACCAGTTGAGGTCAGGAGTTCAGTTCCAACCTGGACAACATGGTGAAACCCTGTCTCTACTAAAAACACAAAAATTAGCTGGGCATGGTGGCGTGCTCTTGTAATCCCAGCTACCCAGGAAGCTGAGCCAGGAGAATCGCTTGAACCTGGGAGGTGGAAGTTACAATGAGCTGAGATTGTGCCATTGCACTCTAGCCTGGGAGACAGAGTAAGACTCTGTCCAAAAAAAAATTTCATGAGAAGTATAAATATGTTGTTATTTTTTTCAAGGACCCCAAATAAAGCAACTTGATTTTATAATGCCATTTAGAAAACACACTTTTAAACTTACATAAATTAGGTGAAAGATTTATACCATCTGAAGAGAAATGTATATAAACATATATAAATTAGTGTATGTTCGTCGTTGAAAAACTGATAAAAGGATATTACTAGAAGGAAGATGTTAATCACCTGTAATTCTACTACATAGCAGATTGATGATAATATTGATTAATTCCTCTTTATTTTTAAAGTAGTGAGATTTGCTTTTCATATATTTCCAACTATTTTTATAATAAGACTAAGATTTTATGTGCATTTTTCACTGTATTGACCTTTGCAGTGATGGCGCAAAATCAATGGTTGGTAAAACTGCTGGTCTTGGTGTGAATCAAGGCAATGGCACTTAACTTTACTGGTAGCCATTGTGTTCTTTACTCACTAATGTCCTTGATGATGATTTTAAAATTTATGAATTTTGTTAAATCTTGACCCTCAAGTATGTCTTTTTAATATTTTGTGTGATGAAATTGGAATGTAGAAAGCACTTCTGCAAACATGATGGTTATTCTCATCAAGAGACTTGTGCCATTGTATGAAGTATGAACTGAATCAACATTTTTTTATTAGAGTGTTATTCAGACTTGGTTATTTGGCAGATTTTTTTTTTTTTTGAAAGTGAAGGAAATAAATATGTTCCTTCAAGGAAAGCAACTGATAGTATTTGTTGCCAATGATAAAATGAGAACTTTCATGAGAAAATTAGAATTTTGGGAAGTTTCTTTATGCTGCTGTCACCATAACACTTTTCTAATCCTTTTTCTACCCATAAGTAAAGAAACAAGCAATTTTCTAGTTCTTAAAGTCTTCTAGTGCGTCTTTTACAAATAATATTAACAAGTATAGTTTGTTGATACTGTATAATTAACCATGTTAATATTTGGAAAATGTGCATAATTCAGTGACTGATATTTTCCAGATGACCAGTGAATGCTGTCACAAATCATACATGGGTAAAAAGTTCATTTAAAGTGCAAGGGAGACTGATGGATTTTAAAGTACCTATACAAAAAGTTTATGGATGTGGTTTCCATGTTGCATTAACCTTTAAGAACCATTTATTGCATTATGGTATGATATCAAAGAAGACTATCCACAGTTACCTGAAAAACTACTAGAATGTTCTTCCCTTTTCCAACTGTTTGTGTGAGGATACGTTTTCTCTGTATTCTTTGACCAAATAAGAGAGCACAGTGAATGTTGAATGTAGAAGCCTATCTGAGGTGAGGATATAGCTGTCTTCTATTAAGCCAGAGATTAAGGAAATTTGCAAAAATTAAAAACCTGCCACTGTTTCTTGTCATTACCTTTATGCATTTTGAAAAGTGATTTTTCATGAAATATGCTATTATGTTTACATGAAATCTTGTCTTCTTATTTTTAAAAGAATTTAATTTTTTTTCAGTTTTAATCTTTAATTCAATAGATACTGTAATTCACACAAACTTAAAGCTCTTTGGGGTCCTCAGTAATTTGTAAGAGTGCAAAGGGGTCCTGAGACTTATATTTGCTGCTCCAGAGAATTATAGGAATTAGTTAGCACCGCAACTGATATAGTGATAATAGTGATGTTTCAAGCAGCCTGTCATTTTATATACATATTTATTTGTATAGTATTTAACATCTACAAACTAGGCCAGTGCTAAGCACTGACCGGAGGTGCATTGGTCTTAGCTCTCACAGAAGTTACACTCTTTAGCAGAAGTCAAAATTAAATAAGCAGTAATTATTAGGTACATTGTAGGGCAGACACCCAGCAAGGGCAGTTAACTTAATTGAGAGTAAAGAGGAGTGACACCTAAAGAATAAAAACTAGTGAGAGAGGTGAAAGGGGTAAGGTGGGAAGAGTGGTACAAGCCAAGGAAACAGAATGCTTTGTTTAAAGAAGAGAAATTATGTTGTATTTGAGGTTCATGAGGGCAGTGACCATGTCTTTTTTGATCATGATTGTACCCAAGTGCCAAGCAAGGTATTTGGCTTAGAGTAGATTCTTACTACATATTCCTTCAAATGTTAAGCGATTGATAGGCAGCATAAGAAGAACCCCAAAGGAACTGTCAGACATTAGGGGTAAAACCAAGAGAGAGTAGCATCTCAGAGGCCAAGTGACTTTGTCTGTTTTCTGCTGCTGTGGATATCACAGACTGGGTAATTTGTGACAAGAAATTTCTCACATTTCTGTAGGCTGGGAAATCCAAGAGCATAGCAGTGGCATCTGGTGAGGGTCATTTCATGGCAGAAGGCAGAAGCAAGCAAGCAAGCAAGTAAATGAGACACAGAGAGAAATGAGGCCAAACTTATTATATCGGGAATCTGAGCCCACTTTTGCAATAACAACATTAATCCATTCGTAAGAGTGGAGCCCTTATGACCTACCTAATCACCTCTTAAAGTCTCCACCTCCTAATACTATTACAATGGAGTAAAATTTCGACATGAGTTTTAGAGGAGACATTCAATCTGTAGCATGAAGGAAGAATGTTTCTTGAAGGAAAAAGTAGTCAGATTAGTTAGCTGTGTTGACTTTTGATCAGCATGTAATTGCATCATAAGTGGAAGAGCATTTGTACTTGTACTTTCCAACTTTATCACGGCTCACTGCAAGCTCCACCTCCCAGATTCACGCCATTCCCCTGCCTCACCCTCCCGAGTAGCTGGGACTACAGGTGCCTGCCACCACACCCGGCTAATTTTTTGTAGTTTTGGTAGAGACAGAGTTTCACCATGTTAGCCAGAATGGCCCTGATCTCCTGACCTCGTGATCCACCCGCCTTGGCTTCCCAAAGTGCTGAGATTACAGGCCTGAGCCACTGCGCCTGGCCTTATTTAGATTTTTACTTGTTTTCTGGTTTTATATTTGAACAGATGCCGAATATGAAATATATGAATACATTTGTAGCAGTTTAAGTAAAATGAAAATGATGAGTACCATGGGATTTACAATAATCAGTCTCTGGATGAATATCTTAGTGGCTGATTTTTACATTTGTGTATAATAATGGTACCTTATTATGACATACATAGTAGGGAAGAATTGATAGTAAGCTAACTTAGTCTTAAATTATTTATTAAGTAAATTTACTATTGTATATTTAAAGTGGGCTTAATTAAAATCCATTTATATTTTAGAATTTTTCCAAGAACATTTTTGCAATTCTTCAATCTGTAAAAGCCAGAGAAGAAGGGCGTGCACCTGAACAGCGACCAGCCCCAAATGCAGCACCTGTGGTAAGAATGCTTTACTGCTTTACAGTAATTTTAATGAAGTTGCCACTTACATTGCAGTGTAGTAACATTGAAGACATCTTCACATTTTAAAATCAGTGGTTTCTAAACCTTTTGCTGCTTCAGAATATCTGAAAGATGTGAAAGCCCTTCCCAGCGTTAAAAGTTACTTACTTCAGCAGTAATTCTTAACCACAGCAGTAATTCTTAATATACCTGGGTCAGAGTCTGAAAAAGGTTAATTAAGGAAAACCCTTTATTTATTTTAGGTAAACTGTGACTGGCCTACTCATTGTTGCTTGGGACAATCACTAACCATTGTTAATAACATAAATCTCTGTTACCTCCCAGTTTGGGGTTCTTTTTGACATTATATCTATTACACCTTGGTGAATGTATTTCTCCTGGTCACCAGCCATGCTTTCCTTTAATTGTGCCTCCATTTCAGCTGCTCTGAGAGTTGACTGCCTTCTCTTTGAAATGCCATTTAAGACCCTCCCAAAGTAAATTTCATGTATGACATACAGCCTGTATTTAAATTCAAACATACTCTAATTTTGTTGAAAATCCTTCCAGCTATTTTCATATGATTCAACAAAGGAACAAAACACAAATGAAATTGTTTCTGTTTTCTGCAATAGAAAATAGAAGATTCTATAAATAGAAAATTTATTAAAAAAAATTTTTTTTTGAGATAGAGTCTCACTCTGTTGCCCAGGCCTGAGTCACTGGCCTGATCTTGGCTCACTGCAACCTCCACCTCCTGGGTTCCAGTGATTCTTCTGCCTCAGCCTCCCAAGTAGCTGGGATTACAGGCACATGCCACCATGCCTGGCTAATTTTTGTATTTTTAGTAGAGATGGGGTTTCATCATGTTGGCCAGGCTGGTCTTGAACTTCTAATCTCAGGTGATCTGCCTGCCTCAGCCTGCCAAAGAATCTTCTATATTTTTAAAACTATGTCAGGTTTTAAAAGGCATATTGAAATGTATTAGAGTACTAATACAGCCTTTGCAACTACTTTGTAGTAGTTTTATTTGCTCATGAAATTGTTGGAATTTAACTTTTAAAGATGGTAGACTTTTGTTGATAATTAGATAAATACTTTTAGTTGATTCTCCATCAAGTACTTAAGAGCCTACTATTAGACAGTCTGCTAGTGATCCTGAGATACAATAATGAGAAAGATTATAGTCCCTACTTTCTTTGAGCTTGTAGTCTAATACAGCAGTCCCTAACCTTTTTGGCACCAGGGACCAGTTTCGTGGAAGACAGTTTTTTCACGAATTGGGGGAGGGTTTTGGAATGAAACTGTTCCACCTCAGATCATCAGGGTTTAGTTAGATTCTCATAATGACCATGTAACCTAGATCCCTCAGCAGTTCCTTACTTATTAGATTTTTTTTTTTTTTTTAAAGTAGTGAAGTAAGAGCTATGATGGCAAAGCACAGGGTACTTAGAATTATGAATTGGTTGACATTTCGAATAGCGGTTGATAGGAAACATGTCAAACCTTAAAACAGTTCTACCATTTGTGACTGAATATTCTTTCTGTATATTTATATAATCATTAGAATACTTGAAGGTTTTAATGTTTGGCCCTTGACTATAGAAGTATATGCCTAGTGTGAAGTAAGCGTCTATTTATCATTCTTGATAGGTATTGATAAGTATATTTGGCATAATATTAGATACAGAATCCTATTGTAATAAAATGAAAAGTATTTCAGTCTTCATGAATTTTCCAAGTAGCTTTGAGAATATTGTTAAATATGTGTTTTTAGTTTGTTAAACATTGTGAGTTTTGATAAAGTATTTGTGATTAAATAATGCATCATTAGACTAACAGCCTTTTCTAATTATTTTTAAAAAGATACCTCTTACTTCAGTCTTACTCTGTTTATAATGGATTAATCATCATGGCTTTCATGTTTATTTAAGGATTAATAGTTTGGTGGATAATTCAGCTAAAAGTCTCTAAAACTAAACTCAACATACTTTGAATTTAAGGGTTTTTTGTTTTGTTTTGTTAAAACAATTATTATTGGATGGAAGAGTATTAGGTCATAAAGATACTTTAGCCAGGTATAGTGGCTCATAACCTGTAATCCTAGCACTTTGGGAGACTGAGGTCAGTCACCTGAGGCTGGGATTCAAAACCAGCTTGAGCAGCGTGGTGAAACTTTGTCTCTATAAAAAAATTAAAGAAAAAAAATTAGCTGAGTGTGGTGGTACATGCCTGTGGTCCCAGCTACTTGGAAGGCTGAGCGGGGAGGATCACTTGGGCCCAGGAGGTCTTGGCTGCAGTGAGCCATGGTCACACTACTGCACTCCAGCACATTAAATAAGTGACGTTTAAAAATACTAACAAATAACTCATAATTAATTTTTTTACAGGATCCTACTTTGCGCACCAAACAGCCTATCCCAGCTGCCTATAACAGATACGATCAGGAAAGATTCAAAGGAAAAGAAGGCAAGTTGCTTAATTCTTATCTTCCCCTTAGTGTGGTTGTGTTGAGCTTGAGAGACAGTATGGGCTGATGTTTGGGTAGGGTAAGGGTTGGCAAAGTAATGTCTACAGACCAGATCTTACCCACTGCAATTTTTCTTACATTTTGTTGGGACACAGCCACACTCACTCATTTATGTATTTTATATATGGCTGCTTTGGCTTTGTGACATCAGTATAAAATTGTTTCAGTAGAGACTGTGTAGCCTACAAAGCCTAAAAATATTATTTGGCCCTTTACAGAAAAAAGTTGGCCAACCCTTGGTTAATAGCATGGATTCTGGATCCAGATAGCTTATGTCATATTAAATTTTTGTGTGAATTTTAATGTTACTTTAACTGCATTCTGCCTTAGTTTTCTCCTGTGTGTAATTAAAATATTACTATAGTACCTGTCTCTTATGGTTATTGTGAGTATTGGACTGGTTAATAAATATTAAGTTCCCAGAATAGTATCTGATAGGTAAGTAAATTATCTATAAATGTTTGCTGTTATTCATACTGCTTTTGTTTTTATATAAAGTAGAGATTTTATATGTTAAGTCATGTTTCTCAAGTTATAAATGTGTATGTGCATTGAGAACTTGGAAACAGATTTTGAGCAATGATGGGAGGACTTATTTTGTGATGGTCTACGTGATATTGTGGCTAATGCAATAGTGAACCATTTCTGCAGTTGTGAGGTGAGACTAATGTCAGTGTAACTTCCTCTTGGAATCTTCATTCATCATGACTTGATTCATGAAAATATTAAGTAGAAGCAGCTGGAAGTTAATGATATTTTTATGCATAATCTGAAATCTTAAGGTTTTTTTAAATGATATGTTGCCTTGATGCAATGAATTTTGTGTGCTGACTTCATTTAGTTGATAAAGGCATGCACTGGATATGTGCCATAGAAAGACTACGCCCATTCTTTCGTTATAGTATTCAATGTTTTTCTTGGGGAATGAATTATATAAAGCAGAGGTTGGTAAATTACATCTCCAAAACTAAATATAACCCTCCATGGGCCAAATTGGGTTGCCCCCATTTGATCACATATATCGTTTATTCTGTTTTTGCGCTACAGATACAGAATTGGGTAGTTGTGACAGAGATTTTAAGGCTCGCAGTATGTAAAATATTTGCCTTTGCAGAAAGGCATATTGGGACTCTGTCCTGGCACTCCAATCATTGTTTACAACACTGCTGTCTATAAAATATATAATATGGTTGATTGCTGTGGCTCACACCTGTAATCCCAGCACTTTTGGAGGTGGAGGCAGGAGAATTGCTTGAGTTCAGTACTTTGTGACCAGCCTGACCAAGATGGCAAGACCCCATCTCTACTAAAAATACAAAAAAATAGCTGGGTACAGTGGTGCCTGTCAGTGGTCCTAGCTACTCAGGAGGCTGAGGTGGGAGGGTTGCTTGAACCTGCGGAGGAGGGATGGGAGAAGAGGTTGCGGTGAACTGAGATTGTGCCACTATACTCCAGGCTAGGTGACAGAGTGAGACCCTATCTCAAAAGAAAAAAAAAATGTGTGTGTGTGTATATATATGTATGTATGTATATAAAAATAAGTATATGCCTATGACTGAAACTTTGGAACACTACTTTTTATAACTTTGGGTCTTCTCATGGTATTAGGTGCTTTTAATGGTACTGTCATTGAGTATTAGTAGTAAGTAATTTGGGGTTATAAAGTATTCAATCTAATTTTTGAACGTAATTGCAGAGATAGTCTTAACCAGCTTCTACACAATAGGCTTGCTGGTCTGTATTTAATATATTAGTATTTTTTACCCTAGTGTCGTTTCTAAAGTTTTTATCTTCACAAATATGGAATTTAATTTTACATAGTAGATTCAAGGCTTTGTTATACTATTGAACCATGACATTCAATGTAGATTATTACTTTAGATTTGTTATAGGTCATAAGATACATGATCTATAAAATCTTAACAGTAAGCCTCTTTTTTCTGTAGAAACGGAAGGCTTCAAAATTGACACTATGGGAACCTACCATGGTATGACACTGAAATCTGTAACGGTAAGTTAATTTGGCTGTAGATTTCTTTTGTTCCAGGGATTTTATGTGAGTAGCACATGTTGAAGAAAATATTCTCTTATATTTTTTATTTCAAACATTTTTCTTTGTTGATCACTTGTGCTGATTGATCTGTGTGGTGTATTGATTCATGGGTATCCTGTTTCGTGTTTCTTTTCCTTCAAACTAAGTTGAATATATGTAAACAAAAGCTGATTTGATTAACTTGCAAGTAGGGCAGTGCCACCTGGTCAGTATTTAAAGCCATTAAGTTAGGAGGTCAGTTTCGGAGAGCTTTTTGGCGTAATATTCTTTGTTTTTAAAAATGTAATGTCTTACGCTCTTTAAAGAGATGGATTGTAGTGATTATAATGCTTACAGAGTATGTAATTAACAGAACTAAATACTTGGGTATCTGTGAATATAAGCCTTTGGTTCACGTTTAGCAAACTTTCTTTTTTTAACCTCCTAAAAATGGTTATTTCTATATATTCTGACCAAGCCATATTTAACACTTTTAATTTTTATTTAGTTAATGATTGGATTGGATTCTAGTAATCTCATTTTGCATATTTATATTCTAGATCGTTATACCTTTTATACTTTTGTTTATATTCTAGATTATACTTTTAAAATACTATGATGTGTATTAAGTAGAGTATACTGAAGACACTAATACCAAACTTTTGTCTTTGCTTGTGAATCATCAGATCTTTATGGACTCTATGTAACATGGAATCATTATATATGTGCTGTGATTTCTCAGAACTAACATGTAACTTTATACCTACGTGGAATTTTTCATGTTTTACTCACTCATTTCCAAAAGCCAATAGCAAGTATAGAGATCTGATTTTAAGTCTGTTTTTTTTCTGGACTTCAAATTGGGATTGGATATCAGATGTTTTGTTAATATACTTGTTTTTAAATTGTCATCAGATTTATTTCTGTATTATTAAATTATATGTAGATTAATGAATTCATTCAAGACGTACTTATTGAGCATTTGTGTCGGATCCTGTCCTTGTTGCTGGTCATACAGCTGTGAATAAATCAGATGAGGCTTGTTTAGATGAGAAGTCAGAGATACTTCTCTCAGGAGGTAACAGTTGAGCAGAGACTTGGATTGCATTCCTCTGCATCAAGGCAGGGATCAAGACTGAGGTCCAGTTGGGCAACAGCAAGGCGGCCAGTGTTGTTAGAGTTAGAGAATTAGGGCAAAAGTCATGAGGGATTAGATACTCCCATCTTATGCAGTCTGCCTGGTTCTTCCTGACTTCAATATATAATTCATGGCTAAAGATTTAGTTTTAAATTCTTACGTGATTTGGTTATTGACATCTTGGGAACAGAACTTGCCTACTAATCATTTCCCTAAGTGCAACAGGACTTGCCCGCTGATCATTCCCTAAGTGCATTAGTCGTAGAATGAAGTTGTTATCCTTGGGGAGCCATCAAAGTAAGTTTTTTGTTATTTTTGTTATTGTTGTTTTTGCTTTTCTCATCCATCCCTGTAGCTCTGAAATGCCATGAAATGATTTTATTATCTGAGCTTCTTTGCAAATAGTAAAATCTGTGATGGTTTTTATAGTGGTCCTTTGTACAGAGCAGGTTTTCTAAAATTTAAGGATAGCTTCTTCATTGATCAGTATGAGAATGACATGATTCTGTTACATCATCAGAGACTGTGCTAAATATACTGAAAGACAGGTGAATTTAAGCAATGTACTGAAGTATGCTGAAAAAGAGAGGTGAATTTAAGCAAATTCATGCTGTCATTTTTAAAGAGTAATCATGAAAAAAGCATTGTGTAGGAATGCAACAGAAAGACTAAAAATGGTTAAATTGCTGATAGTGGCATATTAATACCCAGTTTGAATATCTGTGTTGTTTGTGATCTGATTTATGCAGTTGTTAGAATTAATACCTAGAGAAATTTGAACTTGAAAGCTTTGAAGTTCTCAGATAATTATTTTTAAGTTGTGTCTCAGACTTACGTTTCCAATTTAATATTTTTTTCTCTTCTTTTCTGCTTTGGAATTACTACCTATTTGTGAGCTCGTGAGTTGCAACAACTTTCTACCTTATTCTCCAGTCAAGAAAGTTTCTCTATTATAGTATCCACCCAGACATACAAGGATGTTAAATACATGTTAAAAGGCTTTGCTGCCCAGATGTAACTTCCTTTCTAATTTATGTATAGTTCATTTTTGCTGCCATTGTTCTCCAATGTTTTGATATGCCTGGTTAATATACATAGTTAGTAAAATTAGGATCAATCTATGTATCTTTTAAGTTAAACATCAGATTTCTGATATATGCAAGACTAAATTATGCAGGCAGCTAGAATATTTTTATGCAGATAGATTATTTCCTATATATTTTATAGAGAAGGATATATGTTTTGGTAATCACATTTCATAAGAATCATGAAGTAGTGAAAGTTTTTATACAAGTAAAGGCCCCAGGGAGAGTGCTTTGATAATATTTTATGAAAATAAGAATTATTCAAACTTATGGCAACAGAAACCCAGGTATCTTTAAAGTTACAAATTTGTATAGTTGGGTTTCTGGTTAACTTTTGACTTAGGCCATGAAATATGTTTCACAGTAAAGATTCCAGAGGCCCAAGCCATGAAATTGTTGATTCGATAGAGAACTTTTCCCAGTTTGGAGATTTTTCCCCAAATTTGTTACTTGGGTTCTATAATACTTAAGAAACACTAGGTTAGGCCAGGTGCAGTGGCTCATGCCTGTAATCCCAGCACTTTGGAGGCCAAGGCAGGCAGATCACTTAAGGCCAGGAGTTCAAGACCAGCTTGGTTAATGTGGCAAAACCCCATCTACTAAAAATACAAAAATTAGCCAGGACGTGGTGGTGCACACCTGTAATCCCAGCTACTCCGGAGGCTGAGGTAGGAGAATTGCTTGAACCCAGGAGGCGGAGGCTGCAGTGAGCCAAGATTAGGCCACTGCAGTCCAGTCTGGGTGACAGAGTGAGACTCTGTCTCAAAAACAAACAAAAAAACTCCACTATATTAAACAGATTTTGTGGTTCACGAATCTCATTGTTTTTAATGTATGAGTATCTAAATTGGAAGAATATGCAGTCTTTCTAAGCTTATTTAACCCGCTGAGTTTGCCCCTACCCTAACACCTAGGGAGTATTCTTGGAAAGAACTAGTGTTTCATAGAATCAGGTTAAGTAAAGCTATCTCAGAATTATGTGAAGGTAGAAACCATTCAGTGGGGGAAATAACAATATATTTTCATGGTTTCGTTTTGTGAAAGGGTCATATTAGACAAAGAATGTCACTTGACAAAGTTTTTATTGTATAGTAAATGAGAGAATATGATGAAGACCTGTTTTTGTTAGTTGTATAGTAGCAAGGAACCAATTTATGGTTCTACTGGAGAAATAATTAGAAGATGGTGATCACAGTTCACTCTTATTAATAAGGATTTGGTGGTTGCATTGAGAACCACTTCATTTTAACCTGTCTAGCCTGTTCATATTTAACTGGAAGGGTTACAAACTCTAACCTCTATTTGTTCTTAGTGAGTATCACTGACTCTTGATTACCTTTACTGTCTTCGTTTTTGAGGAAGCGTCTCACACCCTGCAATTATAGAGATTAAAAGGTTTCCTTAAGATCTTTGCTTGAATTTATTCCAATAGTCATCATCGTTGTTACAATAAGTATGTTTTGGGGAACAATTTTTTTGATAGTGAGTAAACTTACGTAGTTTTATACAGTTTGTTAGAGGTGTAATATTATCACCATCAATTCTCAGGAGGATGCAGAATCTCAGGCTGTCAACCAGGTTATATTCTTAAAAGCAGGAACACATACATTAGCACCTTCCCCACCCCACCACTGTTTTATAAAGCTTTCTTCATTCCCATTTGGTTGTTGATTAATTTGTTCATCTCTGCTTGAATTGTTACGAGAGTGCTGTAGTAGCAGTAATATTCTGGAGTTGAGTGTAGAGTTCAGCCCTGCAGATAATGGAGAATTTTTAAAAGCTGTCTTCCTTAGGGCTCTATTTCCTCTTCTTCCTCTTTCCTTTAGCAAGTATTTCTTGAGTGCATGCTGTGTGCCTTGCAGTGTGTCGAGTGCTGGGACATCAACGATGAACAAAACCAGACGTGTTCTTATGGACTTTATGATCTGGTTGGGGAGGAACATATTAGTCATACTATAAAATTGTGACTATGCCAAGTATTAGAGGTATATTGTGCAACAAGAGCCTAAAATTGGATTTGTTGCAGGAGTTAGAATACTTCATTAAGGAGTTAATGCTTGAATAAGATCAGAAGTTTGTGTAGGATTTAACTTGGTGATGACAGGAAAACACATTTTAGGAACAGTGAACAAAAAGCAGGAGTAAAAGCCCTGTGATGGGGAGAGCATGGGGAGTAGAAAGATTTGAAAGAAGACTGGTTATTATGTATATTTTTAGGATGCTTGTAGGAAAGTTTCTTTTTCTTCTTCCTGCCTGTTCATAAATATTATGAACAGGCAGTATATTTATGAACAGGCAGGAAGAAGAAGATGGTAACGTAGATCATCCAGAAGCATTTTAGCTTACTTCTGGAGTCATTCATTTTGCCAGTCTAAATGTGGCCACAGATAACGTTTTATTAGGCATCCATTGTAATTTAAATTTTTATCTTACTCACCACCATTTAAAAATTAGAGCTTGTCACATGAACAGTCTGCATTTCCAGCTTCCTTAAAATCTATCTGGCATGAATGGGTACTGGGTCTGTAGTCTCACATGGCAACAGCCACATCCACCTGAGCAGGAGCTACCTCCTCTATATAAGAGGTTTTCTCTAGATTGCCACAGGCCTTATTACTTTGTTATCTTTTATTTAGCCTTCTTTACTTATTTCTACTATATCTATAGATTGTTTTGGCCATCCGGTTTGAAATTCCTGCGCTAGAGGCAGTACCAGTTTGTTAAAGATAAGTTAATCAGTTGGAAATACAACAAAT